TTTAACATTGTGATATTTTTTTCTCCGTGTTTTTGGGCTTATATATATATTTCCCACTCGTTCACTTTTCGTACTTGATATATTACTATGACTGAACAGACCTCTAAAGTATTTAAGTTAAAGACTGTGTCCCCACCCTCTTTCCAACTTATGCCTTTCTGGCCGGACAATATCGAAGCCTGGTTTTGTTACGCAGAAGCCGACTTCTTCGAGCACGGTGTGAACGACGCGCGTACACAACTCCTCGCAGTAGTCAAGGCACTACCGCGCGAATTCAACAGGTACGTAACACCTAGTATGTTTACTAGTGATGTTTCTGATCCATACCAAACCCTCAAACATGCCATCCTTAAACGCGGAGATCTAACCGATCGACAAAGATTAGACCAACTCCTCAACAACATCGACTTGCAACACGGTTCTGCCACAGACATGTTGCAAAGAATGCGAGAAGTCATTGGCCAAAGAACCTTCGATGACGGCCTATTCAAACGACTTTTCTTATCCAAACTTCCAAAACAACGCCGTAGACGAGCTAGCTGCATCTGCCGACCGCATTCTCGAAATCACTAGGTCTTCTAACGCCGAGGATTTTTCAGTCAAAGAAAAGCCTCAAACGACCCTGAATGACATAACACAGTTATGTCATACACTTACGCGTTATCTCAAACTCTGTAACGACCGTAAACGATCACTTACCCCGCGGAGAAGCACATCACGTAGGCGATCTGTATCTAGAACTCGAGAGATGGATAATCCTGATTGGTGCTGGTACCATAATCAGTACGGAAAGTCCGCCGGAAATTGCAGAAAACCCTGCAATTTTCCCAACGCGAAATCCGTCGACGCGAAAAACGATTTGGGAAACTTCCAAGCCGGCACGGGTTAAGGGCAACCGTACCTGGCGAACATAGCCGTATGTTGTTCGTCACAGATGTGATAACGAGAGTTCACTACCTCGTCGATACTGGCGCAGATTTTAGCGTTCTCCAAGCGAATTCCGACGACCGGCTACACGAGCCCTTTTTAAATCTACAGGCGGCAAACGGAAAGCCTATCGCTACGTATGGCCAAAGGTATGTTTATCTTAACGTGGGTTTACGCAAACCCATTCACTGGATCTTCGTTGTTGTGGATGTTTCTATGCCAACCATTGGTATGGACCTTCTACAGCACCACAACTTAATTATCGATACGTGCAAACGGAGGCTAGTAGACGGAAATACTAATTTATCTGTTTGCGTAATTTCTTTCCGGTTGCACGATATTTCCAGTCACAATTAAGCATATTATAGACTCATTCTATCGACCACTACTCCATAAGTATTCCGGCATTTACCAATCGCAACTGAAATTACCGTGTGCAACCAGCAACGTTACACATCACGCCACGACTACAGGACCATGTGTATTCCCTAAGGCACGCCGACTGGCTCCTGAAAAGTTAAGGTTGGCGAAAAACGAATTCGACCATATGATAAACTTAGGAATCATACGACCGTCAAATAGCCCATGGGCATCTCCGTTGCACATGGTCCCTAAAAAGGACAGCAACGATTGGCGTCCAACTGGTGACTATCGGCGACTGAATGAAAAATCCATTCCCGATCGTTACCCGTTGCCCAACATTCATGATTTGACAGCTAACTTGAAAGGTGCAACTGTCTTTTCAAAAATCGACTTGGTAAAAGCTTATAACCAAATTCCTATGGCCAGTGAAGACATTCCAAATACCGCTATTATAACTCCCCTCGGACTCCATGAATTTTTGCGAATGCCTTTCGGTCTGAGAAACGCGGCACAGACTTTCCAAAGGTTCATAGATGACGTTTTTCGAGGTCTCAACTCCGTACATGCATACGTTGATGACTGTCTAATAGCAAGTCCGGACAGAGAATCACATCTCCAGCATCTGGACCTTGTTTTCGACCGACTACAAAAGCATGGCATTACCGTAAACATTGAGAAATGCCAAATCGGAACCGATTCCTTAGACTTCTTAGGACACACTATCTATGCGCAAGGTATCCGACCCCTTAGAACAAAAGTGGCGGCCATTCTGGATTACCCAGAACCGACCACCATCAAGCAATTGCGCACGTTTAACGGTCTGGTAAGTTTTTATAGACGATTCATACCGAAATGCGCGTTACTTATGAAACCCCTTACCGACCAACTTCGTGGAAATGCGAAATCCATCAATCTGGATGACACTACCCGTAAAGCATTCTCCACGGTTAACGAACATATCGCCCGAGCAGCAATGCTTGCTCATCAGGACCCTAAAGCGCCCATTAGCATCTCAGTAGACGCATCCGACTCAGCAATCGGAGCAGTCTTACAACAATGGGTTAACCACTCCTGGCAACCTTTCGCTTTTTTCTCTAGACGGTTGCTAGACACTGAATCGAGGTACAGCACATTCTGTAGGAAACTCCTAGCTATGTATTGCGCTGTCCGGCATTTTCAACACTATATCGAAGGCCGAGAATCCACCCGCCCAACTTCAAAAGAAAGACTGTGATCTTCAGCACGAGTTGGCCTCAACAACACTTAAACTGCGCATTAAACAGATGGGAACAGGTAACGAAACCTTACTTTGTGACACATCTGCAGGTAGGGATCGCCCAATCGTGCCGAAACAATATCGACGCAACGTCTTCAATACGTTGCACAGACTTTCTCATCCAGGAGTTCGTGCAACCATCAAGCTTATAGCAGAACGGTTTTGCTGGCCTAATATGAATAAAAACGTGAGGGAGTGGGCACGCTCCTGTGTAAGCTGCTAGAAATCTAAGGTTATTAGACACAACAAATGTCCCATATGCTTGTTTAAAACTCACGATGCTCGCTTCGACCATGTTCATTTGGATTTGGTAGGACCTTTACCAGATTCGAATGGATATTCTTATCTTCTAACATGCGTAGACCGTTTTACCCGATGGCCAGAAGCAGTACCCATCAAAGATATTACTGCTGAAACAGTGGCCCGCGCCTTCGTCGAGAGGTGGGTAGCAAACTTCGGCTTCCCTACAACCATTACAACAGATCGTGGACGTCAGTTTGAATCTGAACTGTTCCGTTGTCTGACCATGAAACTAGGAATCACTCGCTTCCGAACGACGGCCTACCACCCACAAGCAAACGGGTTAGTAGAACGTTTTCACCGACAACTAAAAGCGTCACTATCAGCATCAAACATTTCTCAGTGGACTGACGTTCTTCCACTCGTCATTCTAGGCATTCGCAATGCGGTGAAAGCTGACATCGGATACACTGTGTCTCAACTCGTTTATGGTACGACCCTTCGACTTCCAGGAGAGTTCGTGGATCCTTCATCCTCTTCGATGAACATGAATCTAACCTCCTACACGAACAGGCTTACCAGCACCAGCATCGATCGCCTCAAAGCAGCGTATTTAGAAGGAAATCCTATTCACGTCGATTTTCCTTCAATACAATCGCACGACACAACTCCTGCTCTTATAATACCTCAATCGACAGCCGACACACACGTTGATACTTCGACAGTATCCGAAAATAAACTCAAAACAACGCGTTCTGGAAGAAGAGTAAGATTTCCAGAACACTTGAACGATTACTGCACGTATGACACAAGTTAACATTTTATATCATCTCGATTTTCCTTTGTACTATATATAATTTTTTTATTAAAAACTTAATATGTTTATATATTTTTATTTTTTAATTAAAAAAACCATATTATAAAAATCCTTTCTTTACTCTGTTACGTGAGCATGAGTTACGCATCAGACTTCCAGAGAAGAAAAAAGGGCAATAAGAATACGAGTTGAACGATTAAAGAAATAGGCCAAAGTAAGCGAATTACATCGTGCAATAACGGCTCAGTTCGCAGAGTTTATAATATTGGAAACAGTTGAGACTACGAAGGGAGCACAAATCAGATTCTTGAATATAGCAAAATTATTATGAGCTCTACTAACAATGAATTGAGAAAATTAATTCATCATTTAGATTGTTTGGATGTGATCATTTCAATTCAGAGTTTCCTGCCGACTCACGAATGGCTGATAAAAAGCGCAGCTCAAAACCCAACTTTTGCAATTTCTCTCCAATTTTATGATGTCAATTCAAACATTGAAAAATATTTAATAATGTCATTCTTGTACCTATCTTGGTTAAACCAATTTGTAGATAAGTAACAGGATCATGGAAAATCAGTCTACTGTTTAACCTACGAATGCATTACAAACCGAAACACCTGAGTGATATTCAGATGGTCCTATTCATCAGGCCATGGCTAACTCTGAACCTAATATGACTGAAACCACCGCCTTAGATGATCATAAATGTTCTTACCTACAGGATAATTTGAAGGACGATCATAAATTAGAACCTGTAACTAATATTGGTAGCGCCTACATAGATTACGTCACTAGAGCGACGTTACCATCCATTAAAAACGGGTATGTTTATGTTGTCTAAAATGGTTTTGCATAGGTCAATTAATGTAGCAATATTGATATATCGCCCAGGCTCCTGAATTACGCTGTTTCTACAACGGGTTTGAAGGTAGAACAGGAGAGAAGCATATCACCGTCGAGAATTGGTTGCCCCAATTTCAGTATTTCACTGTATATTAGCCGCTATCGTGAGTTTAATCATTTTCACAGGACTTTGAATATGTTCGTTTTACTCAAACTTTGGACTTGTTTGTTTAAAATTTATTACATTTGACATTTCGGTTACACATCGTTCGGCTTGGTGTTTTGGAAATTTTAACTTGGAAACCTAAGCGTCGAAGCTCTTTTGAGAAATTTATTGTGACGATCATAAGAACAATTTACGGTAAAATGTTTTCCACCACAATTGGAATCCAGTTTCGTTTTCCATTTAGGTCTTATGTTTCGAGTGTGTAGAGTGGTGTCGAGTTGAGCTTGACTATGAACACCGCTACCAGACTACGTGCCAATAGACCAATAAGATTCCGGTAGGCCAAAAATCAGAAGGCAGATGATAATAGTAGTTGTAATATATTTGTTGGCAATCTCGTGGTATCGAAAGAATACCGAGATCGTGCCAAAGGAGTACAGGTGCGATCGGCAAGAAAAGATACATGCGTAGTCAAAAACCGCGTAGAAGCAATGGAATACAATGGAAGACCAAAATGGCTGTTATTAGCACAGTTAAACAAACGAGCACAATAAAACAATCACTGGTACAATTGGTTATAATAATAATTGTTTTCATCGAACCAATCGCGTTCTGTTGATAAAAGTAGGTCACTACAGGAGCCCCCCGCTAGAAAGGGTTTAAACTTTCAATAGTTAGCGGTTTGATTCGTGGGACTGATCGGCAGAATTGCGGTTGTGGGACGGAGGAAGTTGACGGAACAGGAAGTGATCGTTGATCCTCGAGTTGCCAACGAAGGTCTTTTGCGCAGAACGGTGCCAGAAGAAGCGTGCTGTATTTGTTGGTCGAATTAGCAGACCACACCAGAGTGGTTTGTATCCAGGATCTGATGATTGCGTTCGTAGGGATGCGAACCAGAAAACGCTGAGTGCGTTGACTAGAGCTTGGGTGGCCAAACCAGCTTTTGCCAAAGTTGACTGAAGTCGACATTATGAAATGGACGATGGTCGGAGGCGTGAGCTCAGGATACAAAAAATCAAAAAAAGAAAAGTGTAGCATGCGTGTAGTATAGGAATAGCCCTACACCGTATCCGTTATCGACTGTGCGTTTAGTCGCGGAAGCGTACGGGTAAGCGTACTCGGCGGCCGGAACGTGAGACGGTAGCCTGCGATCTCATCCGAGGTCAAGGGCGGCGTGGTCTGCCGATCTGGACGTGAGACGGAAGTCTCGTCCGTAGATGATGCAGATGACGCGTGCTGTTGACCGGGACGTGAGAACGAGGTCTCTGATGTATCTAGCGTGGGATCCGAGGTAGATGTAGAGATCCCGCTAGAAGGTTTGATAGGTCTAGCATTGAGTCTCAAGTTATCGAGTAGGGCACTGTCATCGACGCGTGCTGGTTTGAGACGATCAATGTTGACGATGTCGACGCGGCTGTGTCGATCAACCTTGAAGGTCTTTTCGTGACGAGAGATCACGTGAAAAGGTCCTTCGTAAGGCTGTTGCAAAGGTTTGCGTACCGAATCTACTCGTATGAAAACGTGCGAACAGGTAGATAACTCTCGAGGGAGATCGACCTGTCGATGTTGTATTCGAGTTGACACCAGAGACAGCGTTCGCATAAATGCAGACAGTCGATGGACGTAGTCTGATTTACCGAAATCATTACTGCTACGTGGTGTAAAGAATTCCCCAGGCAGACGCAATCTCGTGCACTTTTAAGTTGGCGATGAAACCGTTCGACTAAACCATTTGATGCTGGATGGTAGGCGGTAGTGCGTATGCGTTCCGTACCAAGCAGCCGGGTCAGTGAGGAGAATAATGCGGACTCAAATTGTTGTCCTCGGTCAGTCGTGACAGTCGAGGGAAAACCGTACAATGCTATCCATCGTTCTACGAAGCGGTGAGCAACTGTCCCCTCCGTGATAGACGTGATGGGAATAGCTTTGGGCCATCTTGTAAAACGGTCAATGCACGTGAGTATGTGATCATACCCATGCGATGCTGGCAATGGTCCTACAATGTCTATATGAACGTGATCAAAGCGAGCATCAGGCGTAGCGAACGTGCCAATGAGGGCATCTACGTGTCCGTGCACTTTTGATCGTTGACACTGTAAGCATTGCTTTATCCACATACGGACATCTTTATTCATGGACGTCCAGACGTATCGTGCAGCGATAAGACGTAAGGTAGCTGCGATACCTGGATGAGACAATCCATGAAGGCATCGAAGACGAGACGGCGATAGGCAGAGGGTACGATGGGTCGAGGAAGACCGGTAGAAATATCACATAGGATAGTACCTGAGCTAGTAGCTAGGGGTACTTCCTGACACCGAAGGGACGAAGATTGTGGTGCTTCTGTACAGACAGGATCGTTTGCTTGTGCGGCGGCCATAGCAGGAAGCTCGAGCACCGGTAAAGTAACTGCATTCGCTCGGATACGTGAAAGAGCGTCGGCAACATAGTTCGACTCGCTTTTAATGTGACGAAGGTCTGTCGTGAACTGGGAGATATAGTCCAAATGTCTGCACTCTCGTGGTGAGTAGCGGTCAGACTTGGTATGCAGGGCATACGTTAAGGGCTTATGGTCGGTGAATAAAATGAATTGGCGTCCTTCTACTGCGTGCCGGAAATGTTTGATGGCACAGTAGGCTGCTAGCTGTTCGCGACGAAAAGCGCTATATCTCGTCTCCGTGGGAGTAAGGCGTCGTGAGGAAAATTCAAGCGGTTGCCAACTACCGGAGATATTCTGTTGCATAACGGCTCCTATAGCAAAATCTGATGTATCAACCGCTATACTAAGCGTGGCTGATGGGTCAGGATGAGCGAGGAGCGTAACTTCAGCGAGAGCCGTTTTGATCTCTGAGAATGCAGTACGTGCGGTATCGTTCAATTCTAATTTGCGTGGATTACCGCGAAGTAAATCCGTTAATGGTCGTAACCGTTCTGCCACGTGTGGGATGAAACGTCTGTAGAAGTTAACCAAACCGAGAAAAGCCTTCAGTTCCTTGATTGAGGACGGCACATTGTACTCCTTGATTGCTCGAACTTTGTCCTCGCAAGGCAGAATACCCTCTTGTCTGATGATGTGACCCAGAAATATTATTTCTGATTTACCCAATTCACATTTCTCTGGGTTGACTATTATTCCATTATCCGAAAGACGTTGGAATAATAGTGTAAGGTGTTGATAATGTTCATCTACGCTTGATGATGCGATCAGCAGGTCATCAATATAGACGTGAACAAAATCCAAGTCTCGTACTATGCTATCGATAAAACTTTGGAAATTCTGAGCAGCATTCCGTAATCCAAATGGCATTCGTAGGAACTCAAACAGACCGAACGGAGTCGTGATAGCAGTTTTTTCGATGTCTTCAAGAGCGACTGGGATCTGGTGATATGCTCGTACCAGATCGATTTTAGAAAAGATGGTCGTGCCCTTGAGCGATGCCGTGATGTCGTGTATGTGGGGGATGGGGTAACTATCAAAGCGCGTAACTACGTTTAATGCTCGGTAGTCGCCGCGTGGTCTCCAACTAACCCCATCCTTTTTGCGCACCATGTGTAAAGGAGAGGCCCAGGAACAGTGAGAGGGACGAATGATACCAGTAGATATTAAATTGTCAAACTCACGTTTAGCGAAGGCTAATTTGTCCGGTGCCAGTCGGCGTGGTCTCGCCGTGACTAGTGGTCCGCGGGTGACTATGTGGTGTACCACACGATTGGTCACCGATGAAATCTCCTCGAGTGGTTTAGTTATTCTGGGGAATTTCTCGAATAAGGCGTGGAATTTATCGTCACGCGAATAAAAAGTTCCGAGGATTCGGTACGCGTACATCGGAGTCTATTATATTAATACTATTCTTGTCGTTATCCGTCATGTCAAATATATTATATATTAAAAATTAATATGAAAATATATGACAGACGTGGATAGATAAAACAATAGACTCACCGAATTGACTTCTTTGGAAGGTTTGGTTGCGATTGCCAAGTGGTCGTAGATGTAGGTTCACCAGTTGCAGAAGTTTTGACCGAAGTTGAGGCGTGTTCCAAAATTTGGCTCACCAAATGTAGCGTGGTGTCGAGTTGAGCTTGACTATGAACACCGCTACCAGACTACGTGCCAATAGACCAATAAGATTCTGGTAGGCCAAAAATCAGAAGGCAGATGATAATAGTAGTTGTAATATATTTGTTGGCAATCTCGTGGTATCGAAAGAATACCGAGATCGTGCCAAAGGAGTACAGGTGCGATCGGCAAGAAAAGATACGTGCGTAGTCAAAAACCGCGTAGAAGCAATGGAATACAATGGAAGACCAAAATGGCTGTTATTAGCACAGTTAAACAAACGAGCACAATAAAACAATCACTGGTACAATTGGTTATAATAATAATTGTTTTCATCGAACCAATCGCGTTCTGTTGATAAAAGTAGGTCACTACAAGTGTATCAATCAAAAGTGTCTTAGGAACGGATAAAAGCAGTAATCAGGCATAATAATTAGTGAATGTTTTTGCTGAAAACTAACCTTGATATCAATTATCGTATGATTAAAGGTATCATAGAATTGATACACATTTATTGGTAAATAAATACTTAAAATAAATAGCTCTGTAAGACTTCAACATTAATGCTAACGTGATACGCTTTAGTAGACAAACTCTAGTTGAAGGCGCTCGGTCACGCACCTGCGCAGATAATTAGTGGGTACGCCGTGCTATGTATCCCTTGAAACTACTAGCTAGCTAAGAGCAAACGCTTAACATACCAACAACCCTTCAAATATATTTTTGAACTCATTCATCTCCAACCTCTGATTTCACTAGGTTGGTATACTTTCATAACAGAGGTTTTATGTGTACAGACGTTGTCATTCTCCGAATACCTGTGGCATTTATACACAGAAGTGATGATATTAGTTCATCAAATAGTTGGATGATATGTCTGAATATGCTGATAGTATTGGGGATAAGTATAGTGTGGATTTGTTTCTCTTCTGAATGCTCCTAAGCTGTAATGGATTACGACATAGTTCAGAAACCCTAAGTGCTTTATCTTAAGGTACAGTTGGTTTGAGCTAACTGCATTTCCTTACTGCAAATACTAGTGCAACCCACTGGTAGGAAAGCGAAATCAAGTTTACACGTACGTGAATGGAATTTATTGAAAGCACTGATCAACCTGGATATCAACGTGAATAGCTTATTTCGGTGAGCTGTAATCTAAAATTTCGATAGCAATAGGAATTTTCTAGCCTAATTTCTGCTGACGTTTTCACTGACTCTGGGAAACAATCAAAAACTATTTGAAACACGACAGTAACGCCAACTACAGGTGCAAAATTGAGGATGGCCTAAAAAATAAAACGTCGGTAAGACGTCCATATTGCTGTAGTCCAGTCTTGTAAGATCAAGTTATAAAAATGTTAAGTAAATTAGCTTTATACGAAAAAGAACTAGTTCATTTTAAAAAGAAAGAAACTTCACTAATCTAGGGAATATATGTCAGCTATTGACCTTCCAATATAAAAAATCATCCGATAATGGAGTATGGATAGTGTGTACAATGTATTCACAATTTATGGCCCAACCCGGTTGACTGATTTTGAAAATGTCTTGGCAGTAACACTAACTACCGAAAATAATTGTCAGTCATGACCAATGAATTTGTATTGCGAGAACGTATATACAGAAAGTACCAAGAACAAGAAGGTAACCAATCGTAGATTAACTTCTGTTTGTTCGACTTATGCGCTACCTCCTTATTCTTCATTGTGCCTATGCAAGCGTGAGTGGTAACTCCATACAATGAAATAACCGATGGCGTTTCTAATACGCATTTTCAGTTATAGTGCGTTTTGCCGTTACACGGCACACCAATATAGTCAACTCAGTTAGCAATAGTTAAATGCCAGAGAAGCTACACCTTAAACTGTAAACATAGAGGGAAGTTATAACTAAGTGAACGAGATCTGTAGAAATCCTTAAGTAAGCTGACGCAAAATGAAGACAAAAACTGGAAGTAAGATGAATGATAACAGTTTAATCTGGGCTCTAAAATAAATGCAATGTCTAAATATGAATGTCAACAATGATAACTTTGAATTTATGTGTTAGAAAGTGTGCTGCTGTTATACCAAGCATATATGTTGTGAGAGTTTCGTAAACAATGAGACTGATATGCAAAACCAAATAAAATAATTTTTACAGTTAGTACAGTCGGTCAAAATCAATGATACAACACTTCAGCTCCAGTGACACTTCACCATCAAATTTGGATAGTATCGATTTTTCCTGTTAGAACAGACTGAATTGCTAGGCCTGTACCACATAGGACATAGCCTGCGACAAGCGTATGGACAGACAAGTCATAGGCACGCACAAAAGCACCTTCTGGTAATCTAATAGCCGATCTGTTTTATAAAAACTTCAATATTTTTTTCAACAGACATATTTCAAAATATCGAACGAAGAACGAAATGAAAAGTGGAAATTCGCGGCTAAAATTATGAACAAACCAAGTTAAAGGCTTGGGAAAACAAGTACGTAAAAAACCAGTGAAAATGATTATATTCACAGTAATGGTTTGTACTGAGTCAAGTACTCCAGGAATAGTCGACTAAACTTATTTGATATTGAGACTAAATCTACTTCTTTTGTCTATCAAATAGAGAAGTTTTTATGTGTGTATAGCCAACATATCAGGCCTTCTGTTTCCTGTGTTTGGTAATAAACAGTTGAACCAATTTCTTCGAGTCATCCGATTTTAATACAGATTTGGAGGACAGGTATTAGTTTAACAGGTTAACTTCATCTGCTGGTTAAGACCATCACAACATAAGCAAACGAATTGTATATTTAGAACTGTTGATCTGAATCCCTATACAATCATATCTGAGTTCAACTACCAATGTCGAACAACCAACTAATCTGACCCATTTTGTTTTCAACTCTTTTAGCCCTCGTCCCAAACATTTTCATTTTCATCTTTTACCCCAGCTTCGCTCTCAGATATCGAGGTTACAATGACGATTCTAACTCCACAGAAAAAAACTAAAAATGCTGGCTCGTACAATCTGAAACATACCTCAATTTTAGCCCTTTAACGTCACTTGAACACAGTGAATTTCTTGGTTATTCCACTTTTATAACAAGATTGTTTAATTCTGGATTCAGTTTATTTGAATTGAGTAGCCTCAACTCTTTGGTGAAGAACAGGATTCTTTAAGAACAAACAATAAATCAGGTTTCATTCGATCCAACGTAATTGACTGAAGTGACGCAATTGTCTAACACACAAAGTTTAAAATGTATAAGCGCAACTGACTGTTGTATGTGAGTTTCATGGCGTAAATTTGACCTTCTAACAATCAGATTCTAGTCTTTGTGACGGTTTTTTTGAAAACTTTTTGTGTGAAGGTTTTAGCTGCTTTTGGAAGTAACTGAGTGTCCTCTTGAGTAGCAGCTTGTTGTACACCGGATCTCATAACGGACTGATTGTGTTTTATGAACCTCAATGCATCTCATGACCATTATGTATATAAAGGATTCTTGAATTAGGGCTTCCTTTTCTTGTTTGTTCATATTCATCATGGGAAAACTATAACAGTGATCAGCCCTCTGACGTAGAATTGTTTCAGCTTGATCTATGATATGGCTGCAGCTCAATGATACTTTACCGACCCTATTGAACGCCTAGAATCTCACTAGTGAAATGATTTATTAATTTGAGTAAGATAACGGAAGCTAATACGCTTAGACAGAGGAAAAATTGTACATGTGCTAAATCTATGTTATTGAACGATTCATCTATGACCTTGACGAGTCCAGAGAAAACGTTCAGTATCCAGGGTTCAGTCTCTTAATGTATGCACACGTTCAACTTGACTAATAATTTGCCTAGGGCCTAATGATACTTCACTGACTTTACGTGTTTTTAAGGTTTTTATAAGCCTCAGCCTTGTTGAGCTAAGAGCAGTGTGTTTCATATATTGATCTAATGTAATTTAAATGTTGGCCAAAGCAGGAAGAGTAAGTTTCTAGATCAGCCAATGTGACTTACACTATAAAGACAGATGGATTGGTCCATAAAACTTGCTCAGGCAATTTGCCATTTCGTTTCAGGATCACCGTCATTAGTTGTTTAGTTTTGTTAAATATTGACATACGGTCCTAACAATCACATCATCTGACCCTAATAGAATGCTACCGAAAATGCTGTTGATCTCTCTTGAATTCTAACTAACAACTAATCATTTTTTTTCTTTACGTATTTATTTTAATTGATTGCTTAAGAAATTAAATGCTCTTTCAAAATATCCACAGTAATTTTTAGTAATTAACTAATGAAAAAATTAGTATGACATTCATAGAAGAATCGTAAAAATATCATTCTGAAATGAATAAATGGACAAGTTGAGATATGAAATTTATATTGATAACTCTTTCATTGGACCCAATTTGATGCCTTGATGTTTCAGAGAACTTTGAACTATTCTTTTGGATGATGAGATGGAATGTTGACTGATAACTTAATGTGATTTAATCAATAACTATGTTTCAATTTTCAATTGCTTGCTTTCCAGTTGCATAAAAAGGTATCATCATAAAAGTGAAACTCTCACAGATTGATTGATTCAACAATCGTTTGTTAATTATTTTGTAAGTCATATATGTGTAGTATCATTCATCATATACATGTATACTGACTTTTAAAATTATTATACACAGCATAAAATTGATAAATCAAACATTTTCAACATTCACTTAACATTACAATACAGCAATTAAAATACCTAGAATACACGGGACCTGATGGATCTGGAGGGGTCGTGTGTGGGCACTTCTGAAGAGTTCCATACTAGCATGAAAAAGTTGTCTAGTCCTCAGTGGTTTCCACTGGTACCTCGAAAAGATTACTGCGCGATTAATCTCACCTAGAAACATATAGGTTTACGAACAATAACTAATAAATTAACGGTGATATTACGTTTTACTTTTAGCAATAAAGTGAGTAAATAAACAAACTGCTAGAATATGGTCAAATGAAAGAAAATACTTTTTGTATTTCGAATTTATATTTTAATCTAATTTTGTGACTAAATATCACTATTATCACAGCCTTTTGAAGTTCATTAACGACTTCTTAGGTTTAACATTAGTTTAAGATGAATGAAGAGAATTATATGTGACGTTTGAAGTTTTATACAAATGCATGCTGTTTAATTAATAGCACACCGATTACTAAGAATGAAAAATAGTTTATGTACAGAATAAACAAAGTAAACTTTAGGCAGTACTTGAGAAGAAATATATATGCTGAGATTTTAGCTGTGAGCTTGAGAACAAGGAAAATATTCACTTAATCAAGCGAATCTCACATATTATTCATCTTAGTATTGGGTAAACGAGCCTGAAAACGATTAGCCCACAAAATACTTTAAAGTCTCCGTATTTATAGATAACTTTATGCCATGTTTACATTATTTAGTGGCTAAATATCACCCTCACACAACGGCCTCATTTCTGAAACGTCAAAAAATTCGTAAAAAGACTAGTATTTTAAACATATATTTGTTAAGATAAATAGATAATAATAGTCTAAGGTGGTGTTATGCAATGAATTTTATAATATCGAGGTAAGATAAGTCAATGAAAAATAGTTTTCAATATGTGCTTGCTTTAATTTATATCCATGATCCACTCACAGGATATCCCCTTGTGTGTTAAACTGAATATGGGTTGATGCTACACAACTATCTGGAAAATAACCAGTTCAAATGCCTGAGACTGACTTCAAAATAAAGAACTGGTTCCAGACGACGGACAGCTATTGATTAAGAGGGTGCAACTACTTACTCCTGGTTTATCCACATAAACACACAAGAATGAAATATAGAAAACTGGTATTAACATGCTAACAGATATTAATAATAAAAATAATAGCAACAACAATAATAATATTAATAATAGTATCAATGTCCCAAGTTCAAAAGTTAGCTTTTCAATTATATGTATGAACTCAAATTCAGAAAATGAAAATGGGATGAAATAGTTGGAACATGATATAAATGATTCAATTTGTTATAGAATATTTTATTGTACTTTATTTTTTTTTAAAAAAATTGATTCAAGAAACGAAATAGATAGTATTTAATAAGATGTAACCAATTGAATTTTTATAGGAATATATCATATTACCCAGTGTATAATTAAGAGGTGTATTTTTTTTGCAATAAGAATAAATATAGTTCATTTAATTGAGATATGGTTGAAGTATGTATTACAGTAACAATCTCGATGTTTAATCTGCCGATGAGATAACCGATAGTAATGAGTTTATTTCATCTGTGTATAAGTAAAGTAACATGGGTGAAAAACCAAAATTAATAGAATAACCAAATATTAAATATATATACATATATATATAAATTCGAAGAAATATTTAATTGGTTAAAAATATTTGATAAATAACTTCTCTGGTAAGCGAATCATTTTATACATTGAAATTATTCTTAATATAGTTTTGTTAGTAGTATTGCTTTGGATAAATATGTTGCATAAACAATGTCTTTTTATTAGATAGCCATAAGAAAATATATCACTGGAAATGTATTGTCAGTTTACTGTTTATTACTAGGTGAAAATAGCTATTAAACTAGATTAGGATTTGGTGAGAAACATTGTTCATTCAATTACAGAATATTTTTAAACCATAAAAATAATTTTCGAAACGTTTATCTTATTTGATCTGCAAGTCACAGAGTCAATGATTGATATAAGACAACAGCCATTGAGAGTGTAAACACATATAGAAACAACAGGGCACTTCAGACATAATCAGTCACTAATAGGATCATCAAAACTGACTAATTCGGGACTTGAAATAGAGGTTGATGAGTCCGTGTAGAATGACAAAGTAAACCACCACGCTTATAACTAATTTCACTAAAGTTATAATATTTTCGTTAGATGAATCCAATTTATTTATCCTTCACTAGTAAACTAAATCCAACAGTCAACTGTAATATATGTCTCCACCTATTTTTAATACAAATACAAAACCCAAATCTAAACAGGCATCATTTGAAAATCGAATCATATTAATGACAAAACAAAATATCATACCATCATTCAAATTGAATAGATCGGCTTGTTTTCGCAGGAATTCTTGTTTGATGGTTTCGTGCAAACTGAACACATTCATCGTCTGCAAATATGATCTGAATTTATTGTATTCAGAAAGTAGAGAATAGAACAATTATTTGATAATTGCTGGGTGTATTTAGTAACGACTATTAGATAACACATTATGAATAATATAATCACGAATGCTTTCCACATTATTCCTCATCCATTCTGTATAATTATTCAAGCAATTATTAGAGACTGATTTGTGAAAGTAAACGAAAATGTTGAATTAGCTGAGAAATTTAATTTTTCAAATGGGGATAGGAATCGAAACTCTTTTAACACCGAAAGAAAATATATGAGTCAAGCCGCTTTCTTCCTTTAAAATAACTTATTAATAATAAAAAGGAAATCGAAATTTTAGAAATCTCAGCGTTTCACATGAAAATAACTCCAATATCTTACTCGACAGTTCAGTACGAGTACAACAGATTTTTACGAATGCAGTGTAGTTTTTGATATTTTCTATTAACTGGGCAACCAAATGTTTGAAACTTTCTTATCAACAGTAATCTAGATCTCAATATCACTAGACTGAAGTTGGGCAGATAATGACACATTGTATGGCGTAAAACTGTGGGTCTGAGTTACTGATACGATCATACAGGACGAAATAACTGTCCCGTATTCACTCATTTTTTAATAGTTCCTTGGCTAAAATCAATCGATGGTGTTTACCGAATCAAAAGTAGTTCTGTTGTTTGACGATTGCAAGTTTGTTGCTTAAGTTTTGCTATAATGTCTAACTATTTCTTTCTTTATTACAAGGAGTGTATAACTTCAAAATATTGAACGCCTAAATAATCAAATCATACAGATTTTATACACTGACAAATAAATTTTCATAAACAAATGTAACATCACTAATTACAACATTTTTTTAAATACCTAATTGGATGTATGGTATCTAGTTGAATGAATTATTCGGACTAACTTAAATTATCATTACTCAGAAACTAAATTTTGCAAGGTAGGCAATTATTTCAACTATATTTTGCTGTTTTCCCCTCTTTATGACTGTTTGTTAACAATATCAGTAAATTGTTCAATGTTCACTCTTTCACTGTATCTTTGTACTTAAAATCAGGACATCGGGATTTTCCAAATGTTTGCTTTAATCAGCACACACCAGCCAACTTTCATATACGACATTTATTCAAAGTAGGATTTCTTATAATTTGGACTGTATATGTATCATGTTAAACAGATATGTTACATTATTTTCTCATTATCTGTCGTTTGTTATTTTGACACTGAATAGTCCACTCGAGAAAACAGCAATTTAAAAGAAATTCAGTAGGTCAACCTCCGAAAATCTTTCTTCATTCGCAAATGATCGTCTGTGCAAATGTGTACGATAATTAAACTAATCGAATGTAACACACAGTGTGTGCGATTTATTTACTGTAATTAAACAAACAACTAATTTCTTTTCATAAAACCTGCTGATTTTTGAGAATCTTTATTATGTATAAGAATGATGAGAGAAATTTAAAAGAAAACACGAATTTTAAATGACCACAATATCTCCGTCAGATCACTGATTTTACATTATATCCCTTTAGTTACACGTTTTGACTTCGGTCAATGAACAACGTCTACACCAGTTTTATGAATACTATTTCTTAATTTTACAAAATTTAATTTACTGGCACAGATTTGAATAGATTATTTGCAGTGATTCATCAAATAAGTTCAGTTTTGTCAGTCGAACTAGTTGGTGCTTACTAACACGTACGAAATAGAATGCAGATCAATTCAGTCAACGAAACAGATATGAAATTTAATGCACGTCCAGACTCCTTTCTTTCTCATTAAAATTAGCCTTATATAGTATACCAACAACATCGTTTACTCACTGTCAAACTGATAATACAAAAATCTATACACTTTGATTTTTAAATGATATTAAGAAATTTTTAAAAAAGTTGTATACTTACTTCAACTGATCGTATGTTGTCGAAGAAGATACTTTAGTTGAACTTGAAAAAATAAAACAAATGAGGCAATGTTTAAAAACAATTTAGGATGTAAATTAAAACAAATCCTCATCACTTACTGACCCATATTGGTCTATTTGAAGTTAATGGACAAGGAAGTGGAGTTTAATAATCTTGAATGTCAAGCATTCAGATACTTTTTCACGGCTTGAAATATCTGCAGGGGAAATATGATTAAAGTGAATAGGTTCAGTGTCAAAAGATGTAGAAAGTAAGTATTGATGGACACATACTCGGCTTATGTTGATCAATGATAAAATTCATATTTTCTTGATGTGAAATTTTAATAAACAACTGTACTGAAGATTAAAACAAAAGTTAAATGCCCTAGTACGATCTCGTTTTGAAATAAAAGAGAGAAATGAATTTTGTATAAGCCTCAAGAGTGCTAGATCTAAAAAAATGGTAAACAGGTTGCTAATCCTGTCTCTGATTAATAAGCAAGTGTTAATAAAATGTCAACTGGCAAGTTGGTAAGAAATTATTAAAGCGACAGATAAGAATTAAGTTTTACTGTTGAAGTAAAAGGAAAGGAATGTAAGAATTTTCGATCGACACATTATTTGATAACCATTCGGTTCTTCCCAACTAAATTTTTCCTTTGATAAATTAACAACAGTGATAACACTAGCGACTTAAAAAAAAAGAAAAAAAGAAGTACTGTAAACTGTTGTCTTCTCAAGAGCTCACATATGCCAGATTTACACAAACGAATTGTGACATTCAATAACTCATCTTCAACAACTATTCAATCAGTAAATAGTATTGATCACAACAATGATGGTAATCATAAGTAAACTGAAAATATAATTTTTTCACTTAAACCATTACATCTCTTATCAGTCTTTGAAGATTATAAATTTCGTGATTCTCTTTTGACATCGTCTGATTTGTGCATTTCAGGTAGAATTAAACTCGCATTGATAATGATAGCGCTGACACACCTTGTATTCATAATCGAAGGGGATATATATAGCAATAATAATTGAAACTGTATAAATTAAATTCAAAAAACATTTCGAACAGATTAGTTCTAGTCACATCTTAATATCGATCCAGGAACAATCACAAATCAATGAATACGCAACTGTGCAACAGGGAGCTGACAATGACTTTCATAGAAATAAAATCCAAAATTTATTAACTTAAAAATGAGTTTGTTAGCTGCTTTAACCAGCAATTGGTTTTCCTAATTCATTTTGAGGGACCGCTTGAATATAGTTACTTTAATCTTTAGATCTTGCAAATGATAGACTGTATTTGAATAATGTTAAACCACTTTTTGCCCTGAAAGGATAAAATAGTGTCATACTATAATATAATTAAGTTAAGGAATATGAGCTAAAGAAATTCGGGTTTACATTACAAGCAACAACTGAGTTTTTCTACGTTAAAAATTGAGCACAAATCAGTATAACAGAGCTCTAGCGCTAATATTGTAACTATGAAGCAATTCACTCGAATGTGTATTTAAGTCTATTTTTCGTCATCATCAATATAGACATCAAGTTGTTCACCACATTACTTATTAATGAGTTAAGTACTAACAACAACCCTGGCGGTATGCTAATGGTGATGGTTTGCAACTTAAAACCAAACGACTGTATGATTTACCCTTATTTATTTTAAACGAAATCGATTTATTGTGTTAAATGTTGATAATTTGTGAATAGTCACAAAAACAATTTGTATTCTGACTTTTATCAATTTATATACATAATATCTACACAAATGATTCACAGTTTGTTGAGAATTAATTTCAACTAAAGTAATTCAGCTCATCGGTTTAACTTGAGAATTGTATGTGTGATGACGTGCATCTCTCTGAAATAAGGTGGGATGGCCTTGCGAACTGATCTACACTTGACTATCAGTAGGATCTTTTCTAGCTTTCACTGTCAAATTAAGTCCATCGAATGGAGTGCACAATAATGTTACTAGAAAAAATTTGTCGTTATCGTACTCTATCAATGTTTGGTTTGACGATTATCAATCTGTGTACTTGTATTGAATATTTTTAAGAACTAATTAAGATAGATAGGGTGACTACAGAGTGTTCGACCGCCAAACCGAATAATGGAGATTTTAATCTTACGAAAAATGAGTAGCATATCTGTTGTTTATGTTGTAAATGTTATCAGTTCTTCTCATGTTAAAAGCATGAAATCTTGATCCAGTCACACAAGATGCATAATGATCCGAATTGATTTTACTGACAGCAGCATATAAAATATATTATACACAGCGCCCTACTAGCTAAACATAAAATACAGAAGAATAAAGAAAATGCTGACTTATATCGCGAGTTGTTTGCGTGTGACTACAACGAAACGTGGAAAAAAATCTAAAAAAAGTGCTCAAAACAAAAACTAAACATGAGTTAATTGTTTGGCAACAAACGTTTTTTCCTCAGAATATCACCCAGGAGAAGTTAGATGTTATAAAAATACTAGAACACTTATCTTTACCTTAGATTACTAGTCACCTGATTAGTTGAATATCAGTTCTGACTACACAGATCTGTTGATATTTGCTTAGATGTAATTAATTTGGTTAATTAATTTCCGTCTACATACATTACGAATTTATTTCTATTCCATAGTCATACATGTTTGAAAATAAATTAAGTTTTAATTAAGACTACGATGTATTTATATTACTGGGCATTGATGAAGGTAAACACACACAAAATCTATTCAAGGAAAGAAAGATAGTGAATAACACTATAATAAATCAGTCTCTATCACGGTCAAGGACATTGTTACTTTAATTTTAGAAAATAAAATCACATTTTTCAAAATATCTTGAATGAAAATTTTAGATGGAAGTTTCATATCTTTATAACTCTTAATTGTATAATTAGTTTACTTAGCCTATAATCAATATAGAACAAATACATTAAATCAATATAATCCGTTGAAAATACGTCAACTGTATATATATATATATATATATATATATATATATATATATATATATATATATATATATATATATATGCATGTAGGTACGCAAGTAAGTACATTGGAAGATAGGTATTTGTTTGTAAGTTGTTAGTCAGAGTAGATAATAACTAATAGTCTGATTGAAATATTTTTACTAGTTCCGCCTTTTTATCCTCTGGTTACTAAGCTACAGGTTATGTTAAATGGGACCTTTACCAAACTAGTATTTGTCCTTAAAGTGTTGGTGAGGTAAATGTTTTAATAATAAAAATCTATAATGATGAAGATCTCACGGAATTAGATCAGACATTTCACCCGAAAGGGAACCTGACAGCGCATTTGGAATTTCATATGTACACAGCAAATGTTTCGTATGGTGACTACTTAAACTAAATCGATTGCAATATTCTATGTTGCTACTAGGCTGAGTGCAACTGGAACTCGATACCTAGCAACAATATTTTGAAAACCAAAGAACCATGTCTTCCTCTTGTTATAAACCATAATCTAGATAGATTTTTTACTGATTGGTAAATGGATGTTCAGACTGAGTTTAAAGAAGACTTACTACTTTCAAAGTTCCAATTAATGACAAATTCTATCGGCAGTTTGAATCACAGAGTTTGGTCGTATTTATTCTTTCTGATGAATTTAATATACAGAACATTAATATAGAACCATTAGGATAACTCTTTCTAAATTTTTAACAATAATCAGTGAACGAGACATGATACTGAAATACCTAGAAAGTTCGAAATAAACTTTCAACAGGATATTAAACTACGCTATCTTAATTTGTAATATTGAACAAATTTCTTTGATAGTAAAAAGAGACATAACAAGTAGGCTGTAACTTAACACAATAGCGAGTCACATTTGGCAGGCCTCAATGAAGTAGACTATTCAAGGTTATAGATTTCGAAACTTCGACACAATCCTGTTAGTATATAGGAAACCTAAGTGTAATAAATACTGAGATATCTTTTTGTGAAATTTTGAAGTATTACGGGCTAGAAGCAGTCACTAAATAGTCTTGAACACCTTTATGTTAACTGCTGATATGTTACAACTTTTACTATCTAAATTAAGAGCAGGCATTTGAGCGATAATATACTAAGTAGACACTGTTACTTTATAAAATTAGAGAAACAAGTCCTGACTTTCGAAAATATTTGGTGTAGTATATAAATAATGAGTTTAATTAAACCCTCTATTAAATGAAAAACCATATCGTTTCATACTTCCCAATTTTTATTCACGAATTTGTGTACTATGACCATGAGCTAAATGATATAATTATGGTGTATATATTACTGGATTTCACAGTAATTGAATGGCCGCTTGTAATAAAGGCTATAATAAATGATGAGTTCATTTCAATAAATGAACAATGAACCAAGCCAAAGACATATTAGATACAACTAATTAATACCGGTTGAATTTTTTATTGAAGTAGTGAAATTACTTAGGATTTGATAATCCATTGTAAAATTCAAATTAGACATAATTAAGTGTTATTCGACTTACTCATATGATGATTCCTCCGCCTTTGAACGTGCCTCCTGTAAAGATTGGAAAAAGCAGGCATTCCAAAACCTTAAAGATTGCCAAATTGGTTGACTTTTGATATACACGAAAATAAAGGTTCGATCCGTAGATACCGATGGATCTATGGGTTATCACAAAAAACGAATATATGGAACGATTGGAAATATAAAAAGCTATGTCGTTTGACATTACATGTAATTAGTTCAAGATTGAATAAATGAAGTCAATCAATAAGCTCTGTTGAATGTTTCAAGGTAATACCAATAAATGTAAATTGGAATGCATAGAAAATCAAACTATCTGCACAAAAAATGATACAAAACGTCAGTAGTTTATCGAAAACTTACCGTAAGTATAAAACTTCAGTGATATAGTGAGAAGTTTCTTAGCTGGTTGAAAGTCTTCAGCGTTTTGACATTCCACAAGTAATAAACTTATTTGATCAAGCAGTTTTGGTAATGCTTGTAAATCAACCAAACCTTGTGTACGACGAGACTGATTTTAGTGAAAAGAAATAATAATAAGCGAAAAAGTATATCAAGTGTCGATTTAAAACCAAGCCAAAAATATTTAATAACCTTTCATAAATACTGGTCAAATTATGATAGATGAATTAGGTACGGTAAATATTTAAACAAAGTCATTTACCTCATATATGGTTTTGTTAAACATTATTAAAATTGGAAAGCTAATCGATTTAAAGGGGTACTAAGCATGTTTTCAGTCTTAGAGCATTCTAAATCTGAATCGTCACAAGTACAATATATTTTTCCATTGAAAGTTATCACAGATAAGCATGAAAACTCACCACAAATTTGGGTGTTTAATAACAATTTTTGCTCTTGTTTAAAAATGTATAATCGGTTATCACTTGATAATTACTTAATGCAAATACCTCAGTATTATACACACAAAGGAAACTTTCATTACAGACTGATATTAGCAACAAAACGTTTGAAAGTAGTGAGAATTAGACAGATCTTTTGTTCTAGTTTGGTGCTCCTCTAGATTGGTCGACCACCATCCTAAACACCATCATACCAAGGAATTTCGACGATGTATGTAAGTTCAATAACTCTAGACACCAATTGGGATTCAACATTTTAGATTTAAAACTCCATTCAGCTTATCACATATCTAGGTGACTATGTGCCTTATGTAATTACTGTCTTATTCAAGATAAGATAAAACATTTCAAATTGAACTAATGTTTACAAGCTATCCATTTAAATGTGGATAAATTCCTCATATTTGAATATGTTAGGCAAGAAATTTTCAATATTTTTTTGTTCATAAACTCTAAACAGATGTTAATATGCAAAATATACTTCAGTGACTGCCTACTGTATTCGTTATCCCTTTTATCACAAATATAATCAAAACTGAAAAGAGGAAATATTATTTACGAAAGAATTCCACTAATGAAATGAAAAATAATAGCAATTTTGATGAAATTATCTACTTGTGGAATATGCCAATAAGGAATGCAGGGAGTGAATTGGATTCTAACTAGTGAATAGTTTTGTTTTGTTTTTATCATTTACACAATTAAAATAATGTGTTACTCTTACAGTAAGAAAATACAAAAAGTGTTATTAGTAAGAACAACAATTTTCATTATTCTATGATAAAACAAAATAAATAAAAAAAAGGAATAATTTACTCAATTTGTTGTCCTCTATTTTCATTACATATTAAGATTATACTTTCCTCCCAAAGATAATTTTGCGTTCGATAGATTGTTTTTTTTCATACTTTCACTTGACTATTAAATATAATGTAATTAAGTAACTTAGTAACAGTTTGGATTGTAACTCTTTGAACATTAGATGAAAAATGATAGGAAGATTTCATTAAACATATTACGTAGTTCAAAACTGAAGTTTGAAGTACCACCAAGAATATATCCGTTTAGAGCAGAGTATATTAACTTGAACCACAATGCTTATAACTAAGACTTAAAATAGCACTATAAGTATATCATTGTCGTACAAAGTATCTAGTCAAAACCATCAAGTGATGAGAGCATAGAAATGAAGTAGAAAGTTGAATTACGGGTGATCACTCTTCTGAATTTCGAAAAGACGCCCAATCGAATCGTTAGATTTTAATATGGTCTACATTTGAAAATTCTTTCTTTAAAAAGTTAAATAGTTTAGTCAGTGGTAATCCATTATCACTAAGTCATGAAGATACCATCAAATGATCCAAATCATCTTCAGTAGTTTGGTCGGTTACATATGGAGTCGTATCTAAATGGTTATTAAGATAGATCTAAGATTATATTGGCTAACAATCAATATGAACATAGAATGACAAAGACTCTATTAATTCCATTTTCACTGAGGATTAACTACAGTTTAAAAAAAGAACTCACGTTAGTGTATATTCAAAAATATTATCTTCACGTCATTCAGGATATGATCGAGTTCACAAAAAAAACTGAAAATACTATAATTAGAGCCCACAACTGCCTATACTGTTAAGAATATATCCTCTGTGTGGTTTGCTCTAGAGTGCTTTAGTTAAAAGCTTGTGAAAAATATCTCTAAACAGAATATTGATCAACACTAGTTGAAATCTTAAAAGAGTATATATACTTTTTTCTTAAGTTGAATGGAATGCATTTTGTTAAGTATCAAAAATATTTAAAATTCGATCAGTGAACTAACATCTGTTTTACTACACCATAAAACCAGGTAATTATTTCAAAATTTAGTATCAATATATATGCTCATATAGACGACCAAGACTGTTGATATTTATCTAATTAAAAAAGATGTATCTAAAAATGAATTTATTTCTCATAGAATAAAGTTTAGATTTTACTCATTTTTATACAGAAATAAGAACAATCAATTGGATGATATTCTTTTATACATCACAGTAGCCATTATATGTTGTATCATTCAAATGACAATCGAAAAATAAAATGAAAATACCAACTAAATTCATTCAACATTTTGATCAACTCACCTCTTGTTCTAGCGCATTAATAAATGCAATTCTCCCAGATGGCATCTATCCATAAATAGATGCGTAGAAGTATGAAAACAATGGTGAAAGGAACAAAGTGGTCAAAAATTAATTAGAAGTAATATCAGTTTTATGGAAATATTATTATAAATAAATTGGTAAATATAACATACCATTGAACATCAAGGGCAAAAAAATATTGTTTGAAAACTAATTTATTGCAATTATTCCCATGAAATAAGCATTCAGTTAATATAAAGCGACAGAAACTAAGCCAGGAGAATGTAAATATTGGTTTCTTAACACAGAAAAAGTACTAATGTTAAGTATCACAGTGTCAAATGTTCAAAACTTTGATAACACTGCTGGAAGTTCCTTCATTTACCATAAGCTCTGTGCTGTTGAAGCTTAGGCTGCTATTCGATTTTTTGGACCAAGGGAGGTAGAAATAGATCTGACCACAAAGACAAAGTGAAACCTATAAAATGTTATTTATTTTAATTAGCTGTTCTACATGAAGGATTTTCATATGATATATATGACAGTCATATCAAATCAGTCCTTAAAAGTTACTGTGTTAAAAAGTCAATCACGTTCTATTTGCATAATAAGTAGTTAAATTTACATAATATGGAATAATACTATAGTGATACCCATACATTTCAATCTAACAATATAGACTGCTGAATCGAAACTAGGTGAAAAATTATAAACAGACAAGGTAGAGAAATTTTATTACCTTTATGAAATAATTAAAATATTGTTCACTTAGTTTTTCAAAAGTACTAGACACCGTAACATTCACACACCAGTTTTGTGTCAATAAAGTCACCAATTGGTGATATAATTTTACTAATCAGTTAATCAGGGAAAAATAGGAAAAAAAAGTAACTGCGGGTCACTGGTTAGAAACATCATATTCTTTTACTTGGAATTCAGGTTTTTAACACAAAGCTTCACAATACATGTACATTGATTAACTGCAAGTCAATGGAAATAAAAATCGGCAGGAATTGCATTGACAACAAAATTTCTGTTTCGGAAGACAACTTTTCTTCAAAGCTGTAACGTTATTTTGACGTCCGATAAAAATTAAGTTATGATAGTAAACCTTGTGAAGGAAAAGTATGTTCTAGTTGGGAAATTTAGTATAAAACTGATAAATGAATTATGTAATAGGAGATGAAGTGAACATATTTAACAATTGATAGTTTAATTAAAATGGACATAAATTACGAGAACAGAAAAATTAATCGGTGTTGTTGCTATGATAGGACAAGTACATGTACACTGTTTTTGTAACTTAATATCAGGTTGAAAGTTATGACTGTGAAAAGTTCTTGCTACTTATGGCATGGTGAGGTTGCCAATGATGATATGAGAAATGAAATATTCGATTCTATATAGGCAACATACCACCACGGTTATTTTTAAAAATAATGGTAACAATGGGATAAACTGTGAACAATCTTTTTTAAGTATGACAACAATTCTGTAACGAGTACACGAGAAAAACACTTTTATCAGCTTTCATTTTATAGAGCTCAAAGATAGTTCCGAATGAATAAACTAAGATATTTTCAAAATATTAACAAAGCGCACAGAATGAGTTGATATTTCTCAAACATGTGTAATCGTTCAGACTACTTAACAAAGTTGACAATCACTTTCCGAAAAGAAACTCTTCTTTCATCATTAAAACTATAATCTGTCTGGTAAAACTACTACTTAGTAATAGAGTATATTGAATAACTATATGTTGTGTTTAAAACTTAATCTTGGATATTTCCGTATCCCCAAGATGGATGATCATTTATCAGTAATTGAAACAATTTATTCCTCTTACTTGCATCAATTCTGACACGTATATCAGGCAAACACCAAAACGCAAAAATGTTCAGTATTCACGCTCTTCTATCTGAAAGGCCCGTACAGAAAACACGTATTACATAGATATTAATCAAGTACATATTTATACTTTATTAACTCGATTGTTCAAGATAAGTCGATTTTCAAGAGACTAATTGCTGTCATTTCAAAAGTTCCTAATGTAACCAATTTAAGTGACCTGACAATCGTAGTTTGTGTGAATCTAGTTCCATTTTTCTATTTTAGTTATTCAGACCAAATGATATCACAAATAATCCCTGTTATCAATTTTGTGCATAATTTTCTTAAAGAAGAGAAAGAAAGAAATTACCCAACATAGTTAACTTACAATCAATAGTTCTTGTAATTCATTTTCTTTACTCTTTAAGTAATCCGATCTAAATTTATAAAACAAAAGTAAAGTACAAAGGATCAATCATCAAACAGTTTGTCTCAAAATGATTTGAATCATAAAATGAGTTCTTATGAAGTAACAGCATTAAGAAATAAATTATAGTAGATAGTTTATTTCATATCACAATCAGTGAAAAAGTGTAGATTGGTAAATAGTTTAATAAAGAATCTTTTAGTAAGGTGATGTATCTCAGGCAAGTCATTTTAAAGACGAATACAATTTTCTTAACTTGATAAGCCACTGGAACTATTACTTAGTTTCATCAGAAACCAAGCAATTTCATTTCATGATTTTAAATAGTTTTTCAGTGTATTTTAAACATGTAGACAGAATTCATCACGAACTGACATCAGCTAACATTAATAAAACTAAGATGAACCAGAAAATTGACTCAGATTATTTCGTTACTTCCTAGGAAGGTGTGACTTAGCATATGGGATGAATCTCAAGATCTATAGCTTTAGCTGCTATCGCAATACATTTGGACTATTCATTTGAAATCCAGTCTTTCCCATTTCTAACCTTCATGTAGTGAGGTCATCGTCATGCGTTGTGAATGATAACTGTCATGATTGAATTCTTTTAGTCACGACTTATTACTAAAACTTCGTAAATTAGGCTCAAAGCTAGTTACGGGTGAACATAGAACTACTACTTAGTTGGATACTATAAAGTTACCAATATACATTAATTTTATGCACATATGTGAACCATTAAGAACTTGGTCATCAGAATCGCTACACTTAAGCAAAACAAAACTCTTAAGACAAATGGAGAATTATGATGATGAATTATTGTTGATTTGATTCAATAAAATATTGAATAACCTTAAATCAATTCGATGGAATAAAAATTTCACTTATTCAGACTTTTAAAGAAGACATAACTTAGAGTACCATTATACATTGAGTTAAATAAACTTACAGGTTGCTATTCTGTCTAACTCTATTAAGATGTTTGTCTCGAAAAAGTTAAATTCCTTTAAGCCTATCGAAAGTTTGTAAACTAATTCACAAAATCCCATGGTGAAAAAAAAGCATTTCAATATGCCAACGGATGGAGAAGTAATCAATATTGTTTTTAGCCGAGGACAGAAACTACTACTAGTTTTTCCTTATCACAGTAATCAAATTACGAAACTTCCTTTTGTATTTTATAAAAGAGCTCTTTCTATCTCATCAGTCATACTAGCTCTAAGTACGGTAGGGAATATTTCAACAGCATCTTTTGTTTAATACGTGGATAACGTTATAATTTTCTGACCATCAGTCAAAAACAGTAAATGACGCTGCTTTGTATTAGGTAGGAGGTTGGTATGGCTTGTTAGAAAGTTTCTTTGTTCACAATTCTTTATCATACTACTTTATAAAAGTCTTTTGTTTTAGGAAAGTAAGTTACATGTGAAATCAATATCCAACTTGCCTTGTTTTGTATAATTACTACTGACTGGCCATGATATCAAAATTTACTGAGAAGTAAATTTCATCTGAAATTTTAACACTGATGTATACGTATAGTACGTAATAATTTCCTCCACTCTTTTGTAAACAAGAGAGTTACCAAAATGAATAAATTCCTTCTTATGCAATCATTGTGTAGGTTATTTAAAGTCAAGTTTTTTTCATAGAATATGTTCAGTTCACTAAAATTCTAAAGTGAGATGCTGAAAATTAAGGTAACTTTTCTCACTAAACTACAAAACATTACAACATTAAACTTTTTGAATCATGTCATTTTGAGCTAGGTTTGATAACTTGTGCTTTTTCCTTAATCGACTCGAATCTCTTAAAACTAAGGGGATATTCAAGTGTGAATATTTTTGTTAAGATAATACTACCAAGGGTAACTTATACTGAAATAATTGAGAAACGCATTCGTAGCTGAGATAAGATGAATGTTCAAGGCATATATGTGTCAGTGATAAATTATATCGACCATAAAGTATGAGTCTTTTAGAAATAGTATAAAAAGCTGTTTGTTTTGTCTAACATAATTCTAAATCCGTACTAATAATTTTTGATAACAAATGACACGTAACCAGATTAGCTATACGGTTAAATATTATTCAGGTTTCCAAATTGTCAATCAATTGTTTTAATACCATAAATGTACATTAACCTTGTATCATTTTAAACTTACCGGCCTATTATCAAAGCTGATGTATATAAATCCATAAATTCTTGAATTTTTTCTATACTAGGAGAATCTGGTACAGTTGGACATGGAGGAGCAAATGTTTTATCTTCTGTTGACATATTCTCAGCTTCATATGACTTCGTTGTGGAACTAGTTTGATCGCTTGCGGTAAGTACTAAGTCTCTTTCCTGTTTATAAATTGGTTGATCACCATTTTCACCATATTCAGATGCTGAACTGTTTTCCTCCTCCTCAATCACAGATGCGCTAGGTTGCTGTAGTACACGTGGTTCGTCTATTAATTTAGACGGTTGACTACGATCCTTTCCAAGATATTTTAATTTTTGATCAACTGGCTGCTCATCTATTGACTGATTTCTGTCTTCTTGGAATGAAGATGATTTCATTTGTGCAGAAAGATTCGTTTCATCCAAGCTCATAGCTCTACTCAATGCTGCAGTACTTGGAGGGGGTGGTCTAGGTGGACGTGGAGTATTTTGTGTACTTTGTCGTCTCAATGCACTACCACTTGATGTTAAGTGGGATTCTTCAGATCTTTGGGAATCACAACTTGGTGAATAATGTACATAACTTGTAGACTTTTCTTTCTGTGATTTATCTAAATCCACTATAGATCTATTATTAGAAGGTGCCTGTGAAGAAAGATTTGAAGTCGAATCCCTGACATCTTGATCGAAATAGGACATCCTAGGAATATTTTCTATAGTATCGTCTTTCTGAGTCTCATCTTTACTATCTGATCGATTCACAGAAGGCCCACGTACAACATGTTCCAGTTTACCAACCGAAACTTGTTTAATCGAGTCGAGTTTGCCACTGATATCTAATTTCTGATTTAAATCTGATACTAGATGACCTGTTTTTGCATTTACACTTTCGAATATTCGACTTGGTGATGTGAAAAATGAATTCATCCCAGGTGGATCATTACCTTCAGGAGTTGATGAGTCGGTATGAACTTTTTCACTGTCGAATGATATGCGTCTCAAGAAATTCCCAAAGCTCATAATTCTTACTTAATTTTTAAACAATGAGATTCGATGTAGTGACAAGTGGTAGTCCAAAACAAATAAAGTTTATTGATTCACGTTACGATAATGATATAAATCAAAGTTCTTGGGCTTTTTACCAAACCTAGCTATATTTTTACGTGAGATGACTTGTTCTAGTAACCAATTAAATTAATCCAGTCAAGGTCAAATTTTCATCCCATTCTCTTAAGTTTGAGTAAAAATCAATTAGTGAACGGCGAACATTTTGTTCCCTTTATACAATGAACGACAGAGATGGTAAATAAGAAATAATAAGAAATAATTTCTCCCCTTTCTCAATCGATACACGAGATAATTTAAACGTATGAAAGAGATTTCCTTTTCGTCTGTCATTTATTCAAGAAAAATTTTGCAGTTCATATTCATATCTTTCCACTCACTTTGAAAGACTGAACTACTGCAGATACGACTTTTCATTCTTCACCCAGATGTCCTTTAGCAACAATATAATGAAACATACCCATGTAAATAATAGCTATCATCATCCCAACATTAAGACTCTAGCACAATAAGTAAATATCCTATTTAAATCCTAAGGAAATAATTAAATTACCGGATTATGTATGCAGTTCATTTTTTAATCAATCAAAATCATACTCAAGTAATGCTTATTTATTGAGGTGTTTGACGTGGATACCGCAATTTTATTAATTTATTAGAAATAAATGTGAAATAGAATGTCATCCTACAATTTTGGTAGATTGTAACGGAAAATTATAAATCAATCGACGGTACCACCATTTCTGTACAAAAAAACACAGTAGAATGACTTTTAAGATCATAATCTCTGTGAGATTGTATTAATTTCCCAGTGTTTTCTTTTTCATACTAGTCCAATAGTCGATCATTTGGACTAAAATTGTATATATCATTTTTGATTTGGCCATATAAAGTAAAAATATGTCTCCCAGATCAACCAAATGAGGTAGAGATAAATACAATTGCGGTAGGAGTTTCGGGTACAAGGACGAAGCAGTTACCTAGTTCTTCTCATTCCAACCTAGATCGATTCGTAAAATCAATAACCTTCGATAATGTCCTGTTCTCACCAGTATCTTATTTCAAGAGGTAATTCTGGAAATCTAGGTAGAAGCAGTGATCAGTGTGGTTCCATCATGTCGGGTATGAGGCAGCTACTCACCCACAGTTTGGAGGGATGTTTGAGCAATGTTGCGAATTGATTGAAGTTAAGTATATACATCACTGAATTCTGGGTCACTGGTCTAGATGTTAAACACACATGAAACTGGAATTCCCGGATCCGATTTCCTGTGGTGGAGTCGTGATGTGCACTACTGAGGAGTAACATACTAGGACAAAACAGCTATCCGATGGTTTTTCGGTTTTCATTGGATATCTAACTTAGGTCAGTTTGTGATATCAATAACAATCAGTAAATGTTTTCTATAAAGTAATATATATTGAGCTCAGCTAAGCTTTCGTAACTATTGTACCGAAACTATTGTTCATAATTTTAATGTATAATTATTAAATACCCGGATTATTGTGTGTTTGTATTCTTTTAGTTGCAAGCTCCCATTTGATACATAAATACATGCTGAATGTTCTACTGGTGGCCACATTGCAACATGGTCGATAGCATTCGGTCTGCACTAATAATAAGGACTAGACAAGCATGACATTGGTCACCACCCAGTGATCAATCAATTGTGAATGTTCTACTCTTCTCGAGTTGGTGTTAACTAATTTTGAACCTATCACTTTATTCTCTTCAACTTATATTATAGAGGTATCCATGTTGCACTTTCTTTTTTTATAATGATGTGTAATAAAGAATTCATTCTATATTATTGTATTAGTTGTGTCATCAAATTGAACTGCACAATGAGAAATTATCTACTATCTGCATTGTATTCCGTTTTGGCCAACGAGCACAGAAGGACTGAATTCTCGAACAATAGTCGTTTAGTATTGACCTCAACTTTTTTCTCACTATCATTTTGTCATTGGTTAACAAAAGGTCACTTGTTTTATATCCTAAAAGATATCTTGACGAAGTAATCAGTACTTGAATTAGATCTTATGACTGTTCTTATAACTACGGTTCGACTTACAGGCATCAATACAATGCAAGTAATCTGTTCTTTTTAGTGTCATATCATTATTTTTCATAGGTTTGCAGATATACATTGTGCAGGAGTAATAAAAAACATTACTTGTAGTCCGGAACTCCATCTGATGTTACTTTTTAAGATCTGAATCAATAGATGTATTATTAAATTAGTTTATCAGATCAATAAAAAAGAAGTAATTATTGGTTTGATGGTTACTTTCACGTAGAAGACGAACTGAAATCATACTTGGCACCCAAGGCTCTACAAGCTTGTCAGTGAACTTTTTGGTGTGTCAAAAGACATAGTCACTTTGGTAGTCGTAATTTACTTAAATAGATTTGGTACATTAAAAAGTTTCATTAATTTGGGAAGAAACAAGTCGTATAATTTAAAAATCTTGTGGAACTAAAATGTCCGATATGTCAGCATTACGACGTGAGATTTCGATCAATTTAAGGAAATAAATTAAGATATTAGCACTAATTAATGACTATTTCGGTCGATTCAAGACGGGTTTTCATTTTTGAGTCTTATATTTCCACAATTCTTTGATGAATGGAGTTAATTAAGTATAATGTTACATAGCACAAGGGAAGTAAAGTAATTAACGCATAGATGAATCCTAATATGGCTTTCATGTTTTGCTGAATTTATGGATATGTAGTCTCCTGAACTAACCTTCTCGCTTAATAATAATAACTTTATTCAATAGTGCATGTTATTCCATTGTCGCTACAGACCCACAAGGTTAGATAAGTCGTTTGTATCAAATCAATAGGTTTTAGAGATGATTTTAAAACATAAATTATGACAAATGAAGGAAAAAAATAAAATCAAAGTAACTAATAAGCGATGACGACAGAATACTGCGAGACGAACTTTGGTGTTTGTGTTTAGTGATAGTTTGTGGTGTTTGTATGAAGTAATGATTCTTTTGTGCTTGGTGTCTGCCTGATTTTGAATTCTAAATACAATGTGTTCGTTTGTGCTCATCTAGTTGTGCTTGGTCTAGATTGCGCTATTCCAGGGATTCTGTTATATCTGGAGGCCGCCAAGTAGATGAGAGTGAGGGCAGAGAATTATCGATCGGACCAAAGACGTGTAAAACACGTAAGAACAGCCTAGAGTTCTGATTGGCCCTGCTTCCCTGTCTAGCCCAGCCAGTTGAGTCCAGAACGCAAGTCTCAGCCTCTGTGATATGAATCGTTATATTTCAAACATACACTGTTTATATACCAAACAAACAGACTACATCGTACCATAAATAGAAAGTAACATTTGTAAAAGATTTGACCTCCAGGAAATGACACAAATAAATATTGACCAATAGGGAAATGACACCATTTCTCATTCAGGAATAGCATCAGATAATTTCTGGGGTATTTTCTGAATACCCCAACAGATTCCCAGTTTATGCAATAATTCAAATACTTCGAATTATCACATAGTTCCACTGTACCATATTACACGTTTCACTCAGAATCCAAATAAAATACTTTCTATTGTACTCACGTAGTTCTACTCAACTTGTATACTGGTTCATACTTCATTACTAAAGCATTAGTTTGACAGTTCTCAAATAACAATATTTCACGTGAGGCATGCCAGATTACGAGGAAGATCAAATTGTTACGGATAATACAGTATTCACTGTAATACGTTAATCAGATAGATTTATATGTTATAAGGCACACTGGTCATAGAATCGGAAGAAAGCACTTCGGTGGTGTCCGTATGAACTAGTGATTCAATTGTACATGATGACTGCCTGAGTTCGAATTCCGAATACGACACGTTCATTCGTGCTTATCTATTACTTCTTGTTTAAATTGCGTTGTTTCTGGGATTCCTATTTTGCACTATACTTAAAGTACTTCAAACTATCACAACTTCTCAAATATGAATACGAACAATCTTAGTAAGACTCGAATTACCAATAGAAGGGTTGACGGCGTTCAAATGCTGGTCAACGATAAATCTATGTAAAGTTGAAAGCTTCTAGAAAACTCAACCTTTAATCCTTCCGGAATATCGGAGGTATTAATGATTGCGCAGGACGAAGGCACATACTTCATATGTGTTTTCGGTGGCACATCACGAGGAAGCTGAGGAGAATAGCAAAAAATCAAAGGAGGAGAAGAAGAACGGACAGTAATCGTGGCTACTGAAGTTGAGTCATTTGTGATGGAATAACTAAGGTATGACTACTTAGATTTATTCTTTTTTATTAATTAATTTTTAAGCACGTGCTTTTTAACAGGTCGAAGAAATCATGCCTAAGTATGGCGATAAATAGACAAAAAACCCCATAAATGGATTTGATTCGAAAAGAAGCTGAAAGTTTGGGATCATGTTCAGTTTCAAATTCTAGTATGGGAAACACAGAATTCGGACATACAAATGGCCCTTATTTTCGTGAGAGTTATAACGGCTCATTTTTAATATTATAGATTTTGTAGTGTCATGAATGGGTTTTGTTTTGGTGTACTAGTCCAGTCTTGCTTGTAACGGGATGTCTCGGTGGGAATTGAAACAATTCCAGGGTTACAAACATGGATCAAAGAGGTTCTTGGTATAAAAAAGACAACCAAAACCATTTGGTAGTTACATCGCGCTAGACCATAAGGAGCCGTAACTTAACAAAATGTCTTGCCCTACAGACATGGGTAGATTGAAGTTATCCCTCCAATACAAAGTTTCCTGGTCAGTAACGCTACCTTGTTTCCTTTTGAGGTGTTGCGCTCTCTTATGTTTGTGTTATCTAGGAATATTGCTTCAAGCCGTGCTCCATGTTGTACTCCTTGTTGGGATACACTGCGTCTACTAGTTTTGTGTACAAGCAAAACAGATAACCAAAGCTTTCATACTGATGGTTAGATT